TAGGATTGCTTTGGTTGGATGGACAAGAACAGGCTATGTTTTGCAAGGAAATGAGCAATTTCCTCAGAGCTTGTTTTTGATTTAATGCAAAGTCCTAAAGAAATTGTCATATATGATTCTTCTTTACAGCGGGATAAAAGTGGTTAGATTTAGTTTTGTTTCAACATAAATTTGATATTATGAATACTAACAGCTACTGAGTATGTTCTTTGAGGAAGCACTACATACTAAATTAAATATTTTTTTTGACTTTTGAGAAAATTGTCTTGCATAAATTTGTACATGTTGAGTTTTTCTAGTACATTTTAAAAAAAAGATTACCTGCCATATTTCTCAAGGAAAAATTGTTCAAATACAATGACATATTAGTGAACAGAAATCACGATTGTTCAGGTATATTATGTACATGCAAATAATATTATCGATTATTTTATCTTTGTTTAATGTAATGTTAAGAATATTTTCATGTATTTTAATTGTGCGATTTACTATAGACTTCCGTTTATCTCATTTTCATGAAAGTACAAATCACTCAAACTTCACAAAGTATTATGGTAGTTACCATCAAATAAGAACTCTTCACTGAGAAGTATTTAGAATTTCCTTAAGCTGTTGTACAAAATATGATGAAGAAATGTATATGTGGTAATACGTACAATTTAAACCATTAAATAAGGTCCTATTATAAAATTAATGTAATACTACTACAGAATATTTCAAAATGGGAAACTTCTTGTGCTAATCTTTGAGTACATATGGTCTCTTAGCTACAATTATTCTATTTTTCATATTTGCTAAACACAACATGTTTTTCATGAACCTACGTCGTATCACGTCACAATTAAGTTCTTGCTAGGTCTGAAGGAATCTGCTACTATCTGGTCCGAACTAATAAAACTGTGATAATTTGAACGGGACTCAACTCTGTTGAAAGAATACAAACTTGCCAAGAAATCTTTAGTTTTTAACAAAAAATACATTTTGATAATATGTCGAATGAGTACATTGTAAAAGATCTGTCTCAAATTGTATTTATGTACAGTAATATCTATTACGAAATGATGTTTTCACATTCTATCCCTTATATTCCAAATATTTGTTCATCATTTATACGTGTCTTTGGTGGTTGGTTTATAAAAATGTCCTGAATTATTGACTTTTTAAACCTTTTTGCTTAGTAAATCTGAAAGTAACTCCAAAACAGTGAAGAAAGCTCTACAGAAGTAGTAATAATTGTGAAAAAAAAATATTCATTAGTTTGCAAAGAAAGGTATATATTTTACCCACTTTTCATAATCATTAGGGTCCGTTTTTCATCATATAACAGATTTGATACCCTTTGACAAAGACTTTTGGAAAATAAAAAAAAATAATACATTTAGATTGGTTCAAAATCTTTGATAATTTTTGAGCATTTGCTTATATATCATGTTATGTGGGCTTTCTGTCGTTTTTTAAAAGAATTTATTCTATGACTATTTTTCAGTAAATAAAATCAGTAAACGGTGAAATTTGAAAAATAATTTTTGTAATTTTCTGTCTAGTCCTTTTTATCATGTACCACTTAAAGTCAGAAAATGTTTAGTCGCAGTGTATAAATATCATTTCAAATAGCACAGGCTGTAGTACATTCATTAATAAAGAAAACATGCCTTTTAATTTGAATTGATTAATAAGCGAGTGCTAATTAATGATTTTGGAAAGTTTGAAAATCCTTTTGGCAAAGACTTTTCCGACGTAGGTTTTAACTTAAAATCACTTCAAATATAATTGCAATTTCTCAAACAGACCTGTTGATTACTTTTCACCTATATTTTCTCAACTTTATAAAAAGCTCAAAGAAAGAACCAAGTTTTATGAATTATCTATTATTTACCTAAAACCTGCAAGCCTGATGATCGATGCATGAAATGTAATAAAAAATACTGAAAAAAGCACAGGATGAAATTATACCATTCAGTCGACGGAATGGTAACTGAATGCCCACTGAATGATCACTGAAAGGTCACTGAATAGATCCTTTCCCGTGATTTTTCCTGATCTTTCATTCATCATTCAATCGACTGAATGACAGATACTTTTCAGTGGTCTTTCACCTATCTTTCAGTTGTATCTTTCTATTATATAATCGGCCTATTGCTGACTACGAGTTTGAATTTCACGTTTTCCTTTCATAAAAGTATTAAATTAATCTATTTTCGACTAAAAAATAAATTTTAAAAAGTGAATCTAAAAAAAAATTCTTGCAGAAACTCGAGGTCGAACCGTGGGCCCTTCCACATGGTAGTCTGTCACCTTATCCATTACGCAACGGCGTCTTGTTAAAAACTACTGGTATTAAAATTGATAAATCTGTATAGAAATCGAATTGAGACATGTAGTTCACTTGTTGTATCAAGGAACTTGGCGATGTGTATATATCTTGTATACATTTTGTATATAATATGTTAATTGCGCTGATTTTGGGGCAGACTAATCAATTACACATCTCCTATCGGGATGATGACAATTATCGGCGACAGGCACCTGTTTCTCAAAGAAATGATTCAAGTTAAATCTTCAACTCGGAGAAAGTTTTAAATTCTCTATCTAGAAAATTATGTAAAATAATAATAAAACGATATATTTAAAAGCTTAAATATCATGTGATTTTAACAAATAAGACAAAATTTACAATATTAAGTTTCTTCAAAAGGAGGCTTAAATAATATTTAATTCTGTCTCTTATTTCACTGCGAGATATTTCCATGAAAACTAATATAATCGCATTATACAGCGTTAGATGGACACAAGAATAATGAAAAACTAAATTATCTCTGAAAAATAAGAAGAAAACTTTTTCCCTGTTTATATAAACAGATTAAGAGCATATTTTGACTGATATATTTTTTTTTCAGGTTGGCTGATTGTTCATGTATTTAACAACTTATTAAATTGAATAAGGTTGTGGAAATGTTTATCACTGCTTTAGAGATTTTACAGAAAGAAAAAAGAGAATTCTATATCTGTCACTCAAATTCTGATACTAATATTGGATCATTATCTTTTATCATTAAATAATTTTATTTTTCTAAATCGATTTTCAGGCAACAGATTAGAAATTCGAAAACTATTTTGAATTTTCTTAGTCCACAGTTGAATTGTAATTTTTAATATTAATAAAATTATATTTAGACAGAAGACAGTTGAACATCTAATCATTACCAGTTCAACGTACTTGAATATTCTTATCGCAAAAAGTATAATAAATGAAACACATTCATTAAAGATGAAGATAAAAATAATTTTATTAAATTGTTAAGGAATAATTACTGAAAAAAAAAAAAAAAAAAAAAAAAAAAAAAAAAAAAAAACTAATGAAAAGCCGATGAAAAAGTCGTTGAATTACGACTGAAAGGACACTGAAATGCAACTGAAAGATGACGGAAAGGGAAAGAAAAGGTCACTGAAAGATAACTGAAATGTGTACGCTGAATGGTGGCTGAAAGGTAGCTGAATTGTGGCTGAAAGTTAACTGAAAGGTCACTGAAATGTACCTCCCATTCAGTGACTGAATGGCCACTGAAAAGTCACTGAAAGCCTTTTTCATTTTTATATAATGATGAATGGGGATAATGAACAGTGAAAAAATCCATTGAAACAATCGAGAGCAGAGCAAACAGAGACCTCTAAAACACATCGGAGGTGATATCAAGTACCAGAGGAGTAAGCATCTCTTCTCGACCGGTCATACCCGCCGTGTGATCACTGTCATGGTCGGGCAAACGGAAGAATCCGTAGACAATTCAGTGTTTAAGTAATGACCTAACAGTTAGTATGAAAAACGTCAGTGAGCATTTTACTTATTGAAAGATCGCATTTTCTGACAAGGTCATTGTATCAACCATAAAACTTGCGGAATGATAACTTCAAACGAGACATAGACTAAGCCAATTGATAAACTTTAAGCAAATAAACCCTTGTTTCCCTAACATTTGCATAAATGGTAACAATTTTTTCATATAACATGTTTTAAAGCAATGTCTTTCTTTGCATTCTTTCACAGAAAATTTAAATCTTATGAAAATTATTGTCAATACAGGTGTTTTCAACGTCCTGAATGGTGGTTGTGAAATATTTGTGTGCCGATACAAAGCGGACGAAACTGTGAAAGTGATTCCGGCTTGCAACTCCAGGCAGATTTGAAAACTTGTGATGCCAGTAAGTGGGATAATTTTCTGCATGGTAGTTTATCCATAATTTATTTGCTTATAATTTTCTTTTTAAATTTTGTAAGGTGTTTATACGAAGAATTTCTTGATTGTGGTTGATAACTCCCAAGGAAGGATCCTTCAGATTGATATTAATATACGGGAAATTTAGTTAAATTACCGATCAGTGTACAGAGTTCTTCAGGAATAGCATTCGATAGGTCGACAAAGGAACTCATCTACTCCGATGGCTCATGGAAAATTATAATGTCCACAACGCTTCATGGAAGGTATACAACCTTGATCTACTTAACAGGTACTTAGAACCTAATATTTAAACTAAAATTGGAAATTGATACCTTTACTCCTCAGCAATTTGTATCGTATTTTCTTTATTGTCGCCATTGCATTTCACAGGATTCGCCCACGCTTAGCGTTTGACCATTGACTATTCAGCGGGAAACATATATTTTTCTGCAGTAGCCTCTATATCAAGTCAAAGTTATATTGGAGTTGTACATAGAAAGAGTTTTCTTCATAAAACTTTGTTGTCCAACTTGCACAGACCAAAGGATATCGTTCTATATCCATCAAAAGGGTAGGTTAATGTACAGGTGAGTGCATGAAATAAAGCTTATTATTATATAAATATATAATATCTTTAAAAATCAAATAAATGTAATTGAATTTATCTTAAGTGTGTAAGTAATCTGATATAAAATATGATGAAAAAAATTATTGATATGCTTTTCATCAAACGATTTGTTTTACGTTTTAGATTTTTATACTGGTCAGAAACCGGAAGTACAAGAGAAATAGGTAGATCGTGCATGGATGGAACATCACAAACCTACATAGCAACAACAGAAATTGGAGCCCCAACTGGTCTTGCAATCGATTTTACATGTATGAATAAATACCGCTACATTCTGTTTCCTTACATTCAATCTCTGGATGTATCTCTTCTTTAGAAATAAGATTCATAACAATTTATTCTTCTATTACATTACAGCCAATAGACTTTACTGGACTGATGGACCTAAAGATCGTATTGAGTACTCTGACTTAAATGGAGGAAACAGACATGTTTTGACAACAGATAAAGACGCATTTCCCATTGGAATTGTTGTTCATGAACAATATCTCTAATACACAGCGTCGAATAGACAGTTGGTTTAAACTTTACTTTTCTTTTTCTCTTTCAGGAAAAAGTTGTCATCAAGTTGTTCTACTTCCTTTGAGACCGTAGTCTGTAACTGTAAATAAATCACAGTGAATATAACTTTTAATCTTTTTGTAAAGTTTTTTTAAAATTTTTTTTTTAGTTGTTTGTTTTTGTTTTGTTTTGCTTCTTTGGGTTTTCCTTTAACACGAGTAATTTGACCTAGCAGACTTTAATTAGTGGAAAAACTTCTATAATTTGTAAATCTTATAATATTCAATTACAAAAATGAAGTATCATTTCTATTCTGAAAGAATTTAATTAACAATTAACAACAACATTAATGGTATTCTGACGAACAATATTCGAGATAAGTTCGACTCTTGTTTCATTTGCTTAATAACAAATCAAACGAAATAAGATATTATATTTTTGAAATGCAGAGGCGTACGAAAGATAAACAAGGCAACGGGTTCAAAAGTAACATTCATGTCAAGTCATCCAGAGCTAGGTAGACTGGATAGTCTGGATGTGTATACAGATGATTCTGTTGATAGTAAGTATTAATGCTTTGTTAACAAATATACAAAATTTCGAAAGATATTACTTTTTCATCTCATGAAACCGGTTCAAAACCAGACATGTATTATAAAGTTAATCTTTCCTTTTAGTGAGTTTGAGTTGTTCTACAAATAACATGAATTGTAGTACGTTCTGGTTTCCAACATCGAATGGAAGAACGTGTGGTTGTGAGGACGATGTTGATCTAAAATCAGATCAAACAACGTGTCAAGGAGGTACAAGTCCCGCTTTTCATGGTGATACAAAAATATATATATCATGTATATATACAGAATTTATCACATATGGCAAATTAATAAGCAATTTTAGATCTACTTACCGCATTAAAAGTATATTAAGTTGGAAACAAATTTCAGTCCGAAAATTCACACAACAGAGATACAGGAGAAGTACCCTCAGCTATGCAAAATTTTGTGGAATAGGTTTAATTACATGTAATTGCATTAAATCAGGATCATTATATTTACAAAAATATAATTTTTTCAGATTCCCAAGACATGGACATTTTTACCATAGTAATTTCCGTTTTCATGCTTGTATTAATTGTCTACTCTTTAATAGATCGTGGACAAAGTAAATCAAAAATTGTCTTTATTCCGTAATTTTTCTTTTTTTTAAAATTATATTTTGACTTTAATTTGGGCAGTTTCTCGCTGCACTACTTATCTACCAAATGTGAATTTACATGACTGTCTTCCATATTTTGGACATACTTGCAATATTCACTGTAAATCTGGATATAGACCTACTGCTAACGTAACCCTTATGTGTGATCACTCTGGATAATGGGTTCCATCCCGTTTCCTTGTGCACAGGTAATGTTTAGATGAAAATAGAATATAGACTCGAAGTAATCTAGGCATGCGGAAGGGTAAACCTCCCCTATATATCTTTTGTTTCTGAATACATGCTAAACAATTGTAAACTTAACAATCTATGCTGTTCCCTCAATTATAACGTCCATGACCCCTTTGTTTGCTTTCAAGGAATTATGTGGACTGTGCCCAAACTGATATTGCTTCATACAGACCTGGAATATACAGCTCAAAAACCTCTTAACTGGACAATTTTTGTGAACTAACTAAATGCACATTTTTTTGAGTAAATGTATAGCTACCAAACAATTAAAGATATGATGAATTTTGGAATTTTATTAAAGTTCTTATATTCGTAATTGACAATTCACTAGTACTTTGTTGTACATATTTTCTCCCCTTAAAAATGTATAGCTACTAAACAATTAAAGATATGATGAATTTTGGAATTTTATTAAAGTTCTTATATTCGTAACTGACAATTCACTAGTACTTTGTTGTACATATTTTCTCCTCTTGTTGCACGAATAACAACCTCGATGCAATCATGCATGTACTGAAATAGGTTTTCACATATTCACAAACCTTCATTTTGTAAAATTCTCATTTTAAAAGTCGTCAGACTCAAGTTCAAGTGTTAAACCACACTGAATTAACTCACTTATCGGCCATTTTTCTACAGAAGGGAAACCAGAAACACAGCTCTTCAAGGATTTTGAATAGATATCCCATTTACTTGCAACAAGTTGTCTAAAATTTGATTTACATCTTTCAAGTACATAAGGTTTTGCCTTATTAAATCCAGTACAAAATATTCTGTAATGTAAAACCATCCAAAGAATAACAACAGTCTCATCAATAAGAGTTCTGTATTCTGGGAGGTCCAAATTGAATAAAAGAATTTGATTGCTGCAAAGTAAAACATCATTATCTGAATCATACATCATAATTTCAACCTTTTCTGGGGAAATAACAATATTTGGTATCATGTGGTGTAAAAACTCAGGGTGTTTTTGCTTTTGAACTAGGGAAAACACAACTGTTTGTGCTATTGCTTGTGACAGTGAATGCTCTGGTAATGCTTGCTTGACCTCTGTTATCATTTTTCCACCTGGAAAATCATCATTCTTTGTTTCTGAAATTCAAAAAGCAAATCTTAATAGAAGAATGTATCTTATTGAAATACAAGAGGCCCAAGGGCCTTAATGGTCACATGAGTATAATACAACGCTGTAAAGGATCCATAGATTGAAGTATAAAACAAATAAACTGATAGATGAATATCAATTGAATATCAATTGCCCAAAAACAAGAGAAATGATGCTCAGGGATCAATAAAATAGTCTACGACTTGGTTACAAATCCTAAAGTATACTTATTTACTTGCCTGTACCTGCCAGTGATAATACATTCCCATTTGTCACTATCACTATTTAAACCAAACAAAACAATAGTGCTTGAGCACATACACTGATCTCAAACCTTCTCAGACTGGCCTCTCTTGCTCTTTGAAGACCATTTAATATACAAAGTATTTTTATCTCATTCTTATTTATCTAAAATACAAGTCTACCTGACCATTACAAAATTGAAATTATTTTTAAGTATTACACATATTTTTGGGGGTAATTCTTTTATGAACAGTGATTAATTATCATAGGTGAATAGCAAAGGGTAAAAGCTCCCAGTACAGTACAAATTTCTGTACAAGATCAATAGAGCCCTGTTCAGCAACAGAACGCTTGACCCAGTGATCCAGAATTTAACAAATCTGGCAAAAATACCCTTGCTCATAACAACTTTTTCCTCTGTTTGCCTCCAAGAATTTTTAAACAAGAGGCCCATGAGCTATAATGCTCACCTGAGTCAGTATGGCCCTGTTGTTCTTCATCAGTAGATTTCTTCTCCTATATATTCAAATGTAAAGCTTTGATCACCTGTTCTAGCCACACCCTATCCCCATGTGTCATGTTTTAAACTTAATTAAATCTGAACTAGCTGAGGATGCTTCCATATTCAAATGACTTATCATGGCTTTGCTGTTCTTGAAAACAGAATTTTAAAGATGTTTGCCACCCTACCCTGGGAGGGGGAGGGGTGCAGGGGGAGGGGGGTCATGATTTGAACAAGCTTGAATCTACATTCATGCCAAATTTGTCTGTCTGTCTGTCCTTTGTTTATTTAATGCACAGAAAGGTGTGTAAATGTACACTGGGTAACAGGAAATCACTTCACGCCTTAATGCACACTGATGGCCAGGTTTGGAGATAATTAAAATTGATTGACAGCTGTATTTATGCATTGTTTATTTTTCATACCTACAAACAGGCGTGATTTATATTTTTTGAACACATGTTATCAACAATTTCTATTTTTTTCTGCCATACATTTATCACATAAAAGATTCAAATAGTTACTTATAAATTTGAATAAATAATAATTAAAAAAAAAAAAAACAAAAAAAAAAAAAACATATACTTTTGTCAGTTTTGCATCATAGTAAAATATTGTATTAAAAATATTGCACAGAAATTTCTTATTTTTAGTAACCATGGCAACAGGGTTCATCGAAATCAAAAACCAATATACAGAATTAGGTATCTTAGTGTAGTCTACTTGCATGCGTAGTTATATTGAAATCAAATCAAAACTGTAAGAGTAGCATTTTGAAAAATTGTTAACAGACGCACAGACAGACAGACACCTTACCATCGCATAAGCTCTTCTGGTCTCTGACAAGTAGAGCTAAACATAGGTAATCAGAGATTACAGAGCTCACCTCAACAAATGTTGCCTTTAAGTAAGGCAAAGTCCCACACTAAACTAATAATCTAGGAGTGTGCATCCCTAGATGCAACATTTATGCAATTTTGGTCTGATAGGGCTTGCAGTTACTTGGGAATAGACTTATCTGAAAACTTAAATCTAGTCACTCATCCAGAAAAGGTAAGTCAAATCCAGCATCTGAAGCAAGTTTGAGATTGTTCATCCCTTGATGCATCATCCATGCAAGTTTGGTTCAGATAGGCCTTATAGTTATTTGGAAATGAGATCTGCTCCAAAAACTTTAACCTGGTTACTCATCCGGAAAATGTAGGTCAGATCCAGCATCTGAAGCAAGTCCAGTAGTGTGCATCCTTAGATGTATTATCCATGCAAGTTTAGTCAATACAGGGCTTATAGTTACTTGGAAATGACATCTGCTCCAAAACTTTAACGTGGTTACTCATCCAGAAAATGTAGGTCAGATCCAGCATCTGAAGCAAGTCCAGTAGTGTGCATCCTTAGATGTATCATCCATGCAAGTTTGGTCAATATAGGGTTTATAGATACTTGGAAATAACATCTGCTCCAAAAACTTTAACCTGCTCCAAAAACATTAACCTGGTCATTTTTTAGCTGAAATTGCAGCATCTGAAACCTTGACTGGTACAATGAAACACACTAGAAGCATCCTCCATGCATCTCTGACTAATATAGGTCATAGAAGTACTTGAAAAGAAAACTGCTCCAAAAACCTTAACCTGGGACGCCATCACGCCAACACCGACGGTATTATATAAGCTCCCCCAACTTCGTTGAGGTGAGCTAAAAATGTGTATCCTGAATCTTCACATTTAACAATAAATGAATTAACTGGAGAGTGACAGATTACAAAAATAAATATAGTATAGTAATAAAAATATAGTAATACAAGTCATCAATCCACCCATTTAATTCACTCGTATATCATAACATTGCGAAAGCGAAGTGACGCCTCCACATAACATTTTAGCTGAAAACAATGCATAATTTTACCAGAGCTTACTAAAGAACTATTCCTTGTGGTTATGGAATGTAATATTTACTATATTATGGAGGCCAAACGTGAAATGCAGAGTGCAGGGCTAGTCTTTGAGGGACTTGTGCACAAGGCAACGCTATTCTGTGATCTCGGTCTTTCATAGGTATTGTGACAGTATTGGCAGATTTAAGTGACAATTCACCAGGAATTTTTTTATCATGTCTATAGATGGGGCTATTCATACTATCTGGTTTGAAAAACGGTTTATATGAAGAAACTCATGGCCTAGAATAGGTACCATTTCAACACATGTGCAAATGGGTTAGTCTGTGCACCGCAAGACTAACCTTCTTAGAACTATCAATACACAAACTTCAAAGTTCTAACCCCATTTCCAAAAACATAAAACAGCACTGAATATGAACAAAATAAATCAAGAAATAACATTATTACAAGACTTAAGTAAAAAAAAAAAAAAAAACAAAAAAAAAATCTAACTTAAAACATGCACAA